AAAAACTGGCTAAAGAAGCATCCAAGTGTTGCAGTTTTTCGATATCTAGCTTTGTTCAGAATGGTTTGTTTTGATATTTAAATTTTATTATGGTTTCTAATTTTTACGAAAATAAGAATGATCAAGTAGTTTTTTGATCAACTGCTTGTATAACTCCTTTTTTTTTTTTAAAACTTTTGTTTCTGTCTAGTTCACATAATTTATGATTGTTGATGAGGTTAAGGGACCGGTTTGTAAAGTTCTTGAAAGTTGTGAAGTGACAGTAACTTGATGACATACATGCAAGAATATCATGTTCTTTTATTTGCGTGATTTCCTGCTGCTGCATTACTTTACAAAAAGTTATATCTAAAAAAATAATTGTCCAGTTTTTTCAGTTGCATAGATATTACAGTTTTCGTGCATACTGGCCTACTGTTAAGTATGTGCAGAGCATCTCAGCGCATGGCTTCAAGTTTTCAATACAAAAAAACCATGAATATTGGTAGTTTCGTGCCAGTTTTTATGCGTAAATAGATCTCTGAAAAAATTTTGTATACCCTTTGATCACTTGCTTCTTTTATATGTTAGTGTTCTTTCAATGATTTTTGATTTTCCCGACATACTCTGTTCCTTTTGCTGAAAAGAGTCTTACGGTTCTCACGTGACACGTACGACTAATCTTCTAATATTCTTTTTTAAATAAAGAAGGGGTTGAAACAGTAAAAGTTTTCCTGTTTAGATCCGTAGCCTCTATTTTTACACTATCCTCTCTTCTGACATTTAGTGGTTGCATACTGTCGATTAAAAGCTAGTTTGTACTTTGTGTCTCATGTTTTGTTCGCTTGTTCAATACGGCTAGTAACTTTTCAGTAACATCAAATTATTGTTTGACTTTCACTGTGTGGTTCCAAGTTCTTTCCCTATCAAAGCTGAAAGAAGTAACCAGGAATGTGTTAATTCTTCACCGGACTCACAAACAAGTAATATTAATATATTTTATAGGTTGGACTATCTGCAGTCCCAGCTATGTCAAAAGCTAACAACGGTCATGGTTCTCGTTCCGCTCAATTTGAAAAACAATCTAATAGAAATCCGTTGCCTATATCGTTGCTTACAACGGGAACACTTCTTGTCATCCTGGCTGCTTCATTTTTTACGTTGGTCTTGAAGATGTCACAGCCCGGTTGTAATCAAAGAAGTTACAACTCATCTACCTTAGGTAGGTTTTACTTTAAAATTCTTTCCTAACTTACGATTTTTTTGTTTTTTTTCAGACAGAATTGTACAGCTAACTATTTACTGGTAGTTTTTCATTCTTCCATTTTAAGCGCTTCATAAATTTCTTGTTTTTAAGAGTTTCCTTGTAAGATAATTTTAATTTTTTAAAGGTTGCAGTCAGTATTCATTAAGACCACATTTTGGTGTTGATTTTAGGGAAGACAATTGTACGCGAAGATGGCGCATTTGTTTATGAAATAGCTGTCGTAACAGATCTTGACCATGAAAGTAAAAGTTCGACCAAGAAGAATACTTGGCAAAGTTTCATGAAAAAAGGCGTTATCACAGTCAGTGCGGATAGAACTACAGCTTCGGTCATTTGGCATGATGGCAAGGAGGTTGTCTCACGATTGCAGTCGGTTCTAATTGATTCTTTGCTTGCAGCAGTATGGTAGAGCTTTTTAGATCCTTTTAACGTCATCTTTTTCCGCTGGAGGTCGGTCAATGGAATTATCAGATCTTGGAATTTTTAATGGCCATCTTGTGTCTATTGACGATCGCACTGGATTAATATATATAATTGAAGACGATGAAGCTCGTCCCTGGGTAGGATTTTTCCGCAATTATAAGAAGCTTTTTGTTGAACTAGTTACATGAATTATCTACAATACCAACATTTCGGGATTTGTGACTAGTGCTATGGCATAAGGAAATGGTGCAACCTTAAGCATGATTTTTTAGGTTTTTTTAAGCGATGGACCGGGTAATGTTACTAAAGGGTTTAAAGGAGAATGGCTAACAGTCAAGGATGGAGAGCTTTGGGTTGGTGGGCTTGGAAAAGAATGGACAACGACGGAAGGGGTATTTGTGAATCATAATCCTATGTGGGTAAAGGTTAGTTTTTAAAAATATTTAAATGAAGGTCATTGAAATGCCAGGATCTAAACTTTAGTATTTTTGCAAGATTTGTTCGCCTTGAAAATCATTTAGGTCTTTTGAGAAAACGTCATTTTTGATATGCGGTTGCCAAGTCAAGTTTGCCAGGCTTTGAGATTTTTTGAAGGGAACAAAGGTTTTCTGGCGTACTTCTAAAATATTTACTGTTAATTTTTAGCGTGTGACTGTAGATGGGTGTGTTACGCATGTGAATTGGGTCGAAAATTATAAAAAATTACGTTTGGCAACCGGTATTACTTACCCTGGATATATGATTCATGAATCAGCGCAGTGGTCAGATATACATCGGAAATGGTTTTTCATGCCACGGCGTGCAAGCAACGAAATGTATACTGAAGCTGCTGACGAAACACGGGGTAGTACTTTATGTTCGCAATGAAACTCCAGATTTTTTGATTTTCTAATCTTTTTCTGGTTTCAAAGACAGAGTTCTCTTACGATTCTTTTCACTAATAAAAGTGTTGGAAGTAGTGTAGGTTTTTAAATTTTTGTTTAGTTCCCTTGCAAGCAGGAATTTTTAGTCTTACACTTTTATTTCTTATATTTTGATTTCAGGAACAAATTACTTGTTGGTAGCTTCAGAAGATTTTTCTACGGTTGAAGTTCGAATTGTGGGTAAGCGCGTCGGCCCCCGCGGTTTTTCTGCATTTCAGTTTATTCCTGAAACTAATGACAAATTAATTGTAGCTCTGAAGTCGGAAGAAAAAGACGGCATTCCTGTTGCTAGTTACATTACTATTTATGATTTTGAAAAAAATATTGTTCTGTTGGATGAGCAACCGCTTCAAGAACCCTACAAATATGAGGGGATTGCCTTCATCTAACTTCATTTTTTAGACCGTAGCTTTTCTGAGGCATGAAGGTAATTGGTGGAAATTGCTTGTAATTGCAATAGTTTTTACGTTGTTAGTCGTATATTTTGAATACATTTTATGATTCGATTGCTTAAATTTGAGGCTGCTCGAGTTAGGATGGGACCGTTATTAAAGAAGTAAATGTTTTTTGACTAAGATTCAGAAGTTTGAAAGCTGGATTTTATAGTAGCATGGAATGCGAATCTGTGCTTTCATTTGTAGTGTCTGTTTTCTATTCTGCTTTATGTCATCTAACCCGTTGCTTGAAGGCATCAGTAACAATCGTGCGGTGCTAAAACGTTTTTTGTAGTATTTTAGAACAGAGTTTTATAAAGTTTTTTTAAATTCATTTTTGTAGATTGATAGGAACATGTGATATATTTTGGCAATTGTGCTAGTACCTGGTCAACATTTATGTGGTTGTCATTTGTTTGTTACTCCAGTTTGTACCTATTCAAGTTTTTATAAGTGCCTCTGTTACACAGTTTTATAGGTTTATTGCTCATAAGGTTTTTGACGAGTAACGATATTGTGTATTAATTTAAGTAAGAGTTAGGCTTTTGCATCTTTTAAGCGTTTTGCTTTTTGCGCGCAAGCATAGATTCTTTTAATTTCCAGGTTTTTAAATCTTTTACATAATTATTTCTCTAGGCTGTCATTTGAGAAAGCTGGACATGCAAGAAGGAATTTTTTTCTGAGTGATATTTGTTGCCGTTTCTTCGTTACAGGAAAATATGAAAAGAATTTGACGTTAAATAAAAGTTTTTGTCTCAGAATTCTGAAGAAATGTGTTGCTGTTTGGAAATAAATATTAGGTTTGCTGTTGTTGTCGTAGTTGTTGTTATTGTGTGTATGAAGTCTTGGAATTTGTATTTTTTTGTTTCACTTGTGCTTTTCTGCTTTTAAGGCGGTAAGAACAGTTTAGCTGAGCCGTTAAAAATTTTGAAATAGGAGGTTGGGTTTTGCTTGTGGTTCTTTGTGTGACATAAATTTTTTTTTCTTTTTGCAATGTGATATCTTCTTTCTACTTATTGAAAAATTAAGATGTTTTGAGTATAGGAGGGAACGTTTTGCGATTTGAGTGCATGAATACTGGCCTGTTTAAATTTTATTATTTCTGCCTGGTTTGAGCAGAAGATGAGGATGATGGGAAACAAAAATTATTTTTTATTCTTTCTGAGTTTTAGAATGCCAGGTGATTCTTTTCATCCCAATATGTCGTTTGTTGATTTGTATGATATCGATCTTTTGCATCGATTATTTGTGGTTTTACAGATGTTTATAGTTACGGTTGTTGAGTTATTTTTTATTTTTGTTGTTATTTTGGGTAAAATGAAGCAGAGTAGAAGCTGCTGGGTAAATTAACAAGTAAAGTTTTCTCACTGCGGTGGTTTTTCGAGGGTGGTATTTTAGGGCATATCCGCTTCACTTCAGTTGCTGGTGTTATTTGTTATGTTGTTGGAACTAAATATTTAACATAAATTCACCACTGTATAACTGCAGTTGTATCATATATGTAGTCAGTGGTGTTTTTATGGAGAATTTGTTATGGTTTTTACTGCAGAAAAGAGACCTAATGTTTTTATACTGTTTATTTGCAGTTATTTGTGTAAATAAAACCAATATTACCTTTGAAAATTTAAGGGCTTTTATTTTCCGATTTGTTGACTAAAAATGAAGTTACCGTACGCGTTGCATTCTTGATAAATTAATTATATTTTTACTAAAATTTTAATTTTCAGATGACAAATTCTACCGATTTACTGGTAGATGACGGAAACTTTACTTTACGAAGTGAAACCGTAAATGCAGTAACTGATGCGGCAAAAAATTTTTTGGCTAACAGTATGAATGAGCTTGTAGGAAGCATGCAGGCTAGGAATTCAGGTTCTAATGATTTCCTTTGATAACGTTCTGCTTTCTATGATGCAAAGGAAATATCTTTCTTCTCAATGATTAATTTACTGAAAATCGGTTACAACTTTTTACAGCAAGCCATGCTGGACACGACTCTCAAATGCACCATATGCATCATCACCATCATCACCAACACATGGGAATGGGAGAAGAAATGGGGATGATGACCGGCGACACAATGTCCTCGAGTAACCATCAGATGATGAAAATGTGGTTTCATGGGGGCTACGATGAAGTCATTCTATTTGACTTTTGGAGGATCAACTCTTTTTGTGGTAAGTTCTGTAATGATCAAAACTCTCATTTTTGGTATCACTGTTTAGAGACTCTAAATTTCATGTATTTGTTCTCATATATGAATTTTTTGGTTAATGTTTTAAGGTAGAGGACTTATGAAGAAAAAGAAATTTGTAGGGCTTATAACATCCTGTTTGGTGATATTCGTTATGTCAGCACTGTATGAGGGTGTTAAATGGTTCCGGGTGTACCTGCAAATGGCTTCTGAAAAAGTAGATTCACAGAACTGTAAAATGAAACAGATCGAATCTAGTAAAGGTCTGCTTGAAGAAAGGCATCACAATGGATTGGTTTATAAGCCGACTACGACTACAAGTAACAACGTCACTGCAGGGTTTGTCACTTTGTTACAACTATGTTATTACGATTATTTCTTCTGAACTAAGTGTGCGTTTTTGTTTTTATTAATTATTTAATTGCAGAGACATATTTTAGCGGAACTTTTTACAGTGGCACTTTGCTTTCTCAAATAGGCTTTTTTTGTCGTGAGAAAGAATTGCATAACGGAAATTAGTATTTTAGATACAGTCAACGTCTCTTTAGGTCGTTTTTGCACGTTATCTCTAAACTGCTGAACTTTAGAACAAACGAGGATTTTTTTGATGAGCTATTTAAAAATAGAAATTTTTTAATTAAACACGGACAAGACTTATTCAGTTACTGAGAGGGAAATTCTACAACTTTTTTTTTTTACTTGTCCTTTAAAAGTCTTATTTTTAGAGAGCTTAGATTCTTAAAAACTTGTCATATTATTGTTTTTTATCATTTTCACAGCTATTTCATTTTACTAGACTTTAACTTCTTGGTCCTCAGTCTTTAGCATGGAATTTCGAATGCCTGAAACATTTGAAAGATTAGTTAACTTTCAAAAGAGAGTAACAGTAGTCACAGTTTTAACAAATGATTATTACTTGAACTCTTTCTTGCATTCTTATTTTTGTATCAATAATGTTGGTTTTTTATTGTTGGTATTTTCAGGGTTTATTGTCGAGGTGTCGGTTCGCCGTTTGCTTTTCGTCACGTCATACAGGTGTCGTTTATTTTTTTTTATCTTTGTGGCAGTTAAGGGATAGAAATTTTTTTTACAGAACAGTTATATTTTTTGGTACTCAGTTGTATTTGATATAAGTAGCAAGTGCGCGGTTTTCAGGGTGTCTTGTACGCTGTGCAATTAACTCTTGCCTACTGGATGATGCTGGTTGCAATGACGTTCAACTCATATTTGACTATAGCGGTAATCGTCGGAGCAGCTTTCGGTCACTGGCTTTTTGCCGTTTTGAAATGTTTCAACTCTCAAGCTGACCGTTTAAATTCATTGGCTACAGACGCTTGTCACTGAACGACGAAGTAGGAATACTACAAAAAAAAAAAAAAGGACAAGAAATCTCATTGCACATCAGTTCTGGCAAAAGTGATTTTTAAACAGAATCCTCGCCCAAAAAAAAAGTTTTTGTTCTAAAAACTTGAGTGCGCTTTCCTTCTTTCATTTGGGCGCGAGACCTTTCAGAAATTTTAATATTCAGGTCTTAAACTTAAGTATTATTCTTAATCAGCGGTGTAATGCATTTTGGTGCCCTTTCAGAATCTGTGATGTGTCATTTAAGTATAGGCAGATTTAGAGAGTGATTTGAAAAGTTTCCTATGATAAGAGTTAAAGTTTTTAGGTTGTTAGATAAACTTTGTTAATTGACACCTCTTTGTTCTTCTTGTGATCTCAGTCAACGGTTCTATTTTTCTAATCCGCAAAATATCTTTGTTCTGGTGCTTTTGCTTTGTGTATTTTCGTTGTATCCTTTTGGATGTAAATTAAAAGAAAAATTCTAAGGTAATTAAATGTATGATTTATTAATGAGAGCTTTCTAGCGTAGAATGGTACTTCAACCAGAGGAGGAATTGTCATTTGATTTTTCCTTCGGTGCTTTTTTTTCTACTTCTGCTAAAAAACAGTTTGATCATAATTTTTAAATGTTGTAAAAAAAATTCATTTTCTAATGGTGTTAGTATGGTGGTTCAAAAATAGAATCTTTATTGAATTCTGTGTTTTTGCGCATGCCGTGTATCTAGCCATCATAGCATAAGTGATTTTTTGGGTCTGCAATTTCCTAAGTAAATTTTCTTTCAAAAACTGCACTCAGACGGTAGAATTCTCGTGAGGTTTAGCGTGAGATCTTGGACAGCGGGAAAATGGCTATAGTGTAAAATAGTGAATGCGCTTTGTTGCTTTGACAGTGGTTGATTATTTTGGTTGTTATACTTCTGTTTCATAAGGAAATTGAATTTCAAGTACATCTGCCCACTTGAAGGTTAGATCATATTAGTGAGTATATTAGGCAGCAAAACAGCTACCCAATATAAGAACCCAAAAACAATTGGGTATCTAAATTTCATATGACCGGTAGATTGGGTAGGCCTTGAGTAAATGCTGAAATTAGCCGTGTAAAGGAGAACCGGTGGTAAAGTATCCTTCTGTTTCTATTTGCTCTACTTTGGTAAGATATGCGTTTTTCTGAGATCTGTCTTAAAATTTTGCTACTGCTAAGACTCATCGAGACGTCCTATTATGTACATCCGCTGTTATGGCACATACGGCATGAATTCTTCATTAGCGAGTCACAGCGCCAAGACGATAGAAGTTCTGTAGTTTCTGGCCACTTTTCAGCTATCTTCTTCACGATTGTTGCTTAAAATCCGTTTCTGTTTTTTATTGATAGGATTTGTTTCTCAACATTTTGTAGTTTTCTTGATGTATCAGGACTTCAATTGCGACCTGAACAGGTAAGAAAATGATGTTCCGGTTTCAATTGTTAGTTGAAGCAGTGAAATTGGTAAAACTTTTAATTCTTAGCACTCTTCATCAAGAATTTATTAGAAATTCGAAAATGATGATTCGGAATCCAACAAATTAGCGTGAAAATTTACTTCAGTAATTTCAAAACAAAATTTTTCAAAAAGGAAATTTTAAATCTTACTGGCTTGTTGTTTCAAAGGCTAGTGGATGTGAATAGTAACTTCTAAAGCTGTGTGGGTAGGCTTTTTTTTGGCAAGGGAGAACTGTTGCTTTGTAATCAAAATAAATTTGCCTGTTTATTGAGAAAGGCATTTTAAATATAAATTACCACTGCTATTTTGAATAATCAAACCTAAAAGTATGTAAATGAAGTAAACAGTAGATGAAGCAAGACTTAGCAAGCTAACAACGAAGCAAGTTATGCGAAACGATCCTTCCCTTTAACAAATGCAGTTACTGACTAGCTAGGCAAAGGAGAACTGTTGCTTTGTAACCAAAATAAATTTGCCTGTTTATTAAGAAATGAATTTTAAATATATATATAAAGGAAAAAAATTGGTCTTTTGAGGATTTTTAAATTTTTTTTTTTCTTAAATTTTTAGCTTCTGATGACTAGAATCTGTTGCATTTGATCATGTATTATGAAGCTAATTTGTAATTAAAAGGTGAATAACAGCACATCTACACTGCTTCTAGCAGTTTCATTTGTCAATTTCGATCGTTATTTGGCATAGTTGGTTCATGATAGTGGTCTTAGTTGATTCCTTGTAATGACCGCCTTACCACGCTTTTGGAACAGAGGATTCCCCATTCACGGACTCCAGCGGAGGATTTGAAAGAACAGCAGTTTGTTTATTTGTGGAAACTGTGATCTCGACTAAGACCAACTGGAAACAAGCGATATTGGAAGATCACCATTTGCGGAGTAGATCCGAAATTTGTGATCCTGGCTGTTGCTTAGCTGCAAATTTTCATGAGAAAAGTATTTTGCCTTTTTTATTTGAGGCGTGCACTATTACTGACAAATTTCTTTCCTTGTTAAAACAACTTCAACAGAAAGCTTTCTTAAAATTTTTTACGCTATATTAA